CCCCAAAACCCCAAAACCCCAAAACCCCAAAACCCCAAAACCCCAAAACCCCAAAACCCCAAAACCCCACGAACAAATTTTGTAATTGAAAAGTATTTAATTATGGGATCTAGTGACTCAAGATCGCAGTTTGAGCATGGGCATATTGTTGTTCAGACTAGCAAGCCTTACTTTACACCAGGAGAAGAAGTTACAGGGAATATTTACCTCTCGATGGACCAGCCCTTTCCAGCAACATCACTAGAACTTGAGATTAAAGGTAAGGAAGAAGTGAAATGGAAGATTAGGAAAAATTCAAGCTCTAGTAATTCAAGTCATAATAGATATCACTATACAATAAAGATGGAAGATAAAAAGCAAATATTTTTCTTCCAAGCAACTATCTACGAGTTCGAGGATGAGACTGTTTATGCTGGACAATACGACTTTCCCTTTAAGTTCCTTCTCCCTGAAGATCTTCCATCTAGTTGATACTTCAGCAGCTATAGTCAAAAAGCAAGAGGAATGGCTCAATACAAAATAAAGGCATCTCTTAAGTGCAATACTGATGATATGAAAGATATGGTATTTAAGCAAACATTGATCATCAGGCAGCAACCGGAGTCAATAGAGATGTCAACTAAGGCTGACTACAACGCTAAGGTGTACAAGTGCTGCTGTTGTTGCTCCGAAGGAACTGTCACAATGCAGTCAGAGACAGACAAAACCATCTATACTCCTACTGAAACTGTGAAAATTATTGGAAATATTGATAATAGTAATAGCAAGAAGGACCTCAAGAAGATCAAAGTACAGCTTGTGCAATGAGTAAAGATGTACGGCAAGAGAAGAAAGAGGGATCTTCTAAAGACTGCCTTTAACGACCCATCAGATTTCTTGTTCACAGCTGGGGACTCAGAATATAATCAAGAATTTGTTGTAATGGAGAAAGAATACCCAGGCATAAAGAAAGGAGAAATGACTGATGAAGAGAGCAATCATATGGAACTTAACCTTGCTGAATATGGCCAAGAAGCCTACATTGACAATTCAGATGAGGAAAATGAAGGAGAGCAATCACATGCTTCTCTTGATCATGAAATCTTAGCTAAGGATGATGAGGCTCTTAGAGAAAGAATCCAGCCTACAAGTATTGGAAAGATAATCCAGATCACGTATAAGCTCAAGATTACTGGAGATTACGGAACTTGTTGCGGGTGTTCGGACCCTCAAACCTCTATTGATTTATTCATAACTCCTCCAAAGCTACCAAGCTATCAGGTCTTAGAACCTCCACCTAACTGGAACCCCGAAATTTTTGAGAGTAAGAACTTTACAGATCCAGTATCTGCAGGCGAAGAAGTCTAGAAGTCATTTAAGAAGTTTCAATTAAAATAACTAATTAAGGGGTTTTGGGGTTTTGGGGTTTTGGGGTTTTGGGG